AGGCGACTGTTCTGGAAACTAGACACCCCCAGCTACGCGTCGATATGTGGATCGCCTCCAGACTCCTTCTGGTTCGATCGGAATTCCCCTCTGAACCCGACTGATCGCAGACAACAATCTGCACAAATCCACCGAGTTCAAACAGCCATAACTCGGTGAATAATCAACCAAAAGATGAACCGTTTTTGCCTATGCCACGAGCAGAGATTGGAGAACTTACCCTCCAAAAATCACTCCAATCCGCCACGAATAGCCCCGCCGTTTGCCCTCTCAAAGATCCGATCAGAAGCTGCTCATACACATGAACCTCTCAAGAACAAGTCTCTCTCTCTCCCAACCTTTTCTCTCTGATTTCTAATCCAACAAAACGGCCAGGACCCTGTTCCAGCCTTTTATATCAAACCCTAGGGTTCTTCCCTAACCAACACGCAAACCGTGCGATCAAATCCGACTTCCCGGTCTGATTAAAGATTTGCGTCGCTCGACGCAAGCCCCCTGCGTCGCTCGACGCACCACCAAAAAACACATTTTTGGTTCACGGGCGTTACAATGCATATCGCTAAAAATTACCCAAATCGACAAATCCAGCAATCGTTTATCAAAAACTTTTGAAAAATGCAAATAAACTATCGAACGACTACAAAATCTCATCGTACAGACTCAAAACGATGAAATCGAGATCTAGAAATCGTAAATCCAAATCAACATATCTAGATCTATAAATCGAAATATCGCGCATCGCGAATCAAATTACCTTTATCTTTGATCTTCGTCACTTAAAAAGCTTCGATCGTCATCGTCTCTAAAAAAAACTCGATCTTCGTCTCTAAAAATCCTTCGAGCCGATTCTGTTTGGGAGAGAAAACGAAAGGGCGATTGTGAAAGGGGCAAAGTTGTCCAAACGGACAAAATATGTGGTATAATTGTAAAAGGCTTCCCAGACGTGGCATGCTTGTAAAAAGTGACCACATCTGTAGCATTTTTATAATTCTCCCCATAAAAAAAGACATTTTTGCAATTGTCCC